TGGTGGTAGGTGTATTTTTTTTTTTTTACTTTGGACAGCTCCATGCTAATTAATACACCCTGCTTCAATTATTAGGGCCCGAGCACGACCGTGTGAGGTCCCTATTGAATTTGCTCGGATTTTTTTTTTTTTTTTCTGCAAAGTAGGCCCAAATGACATGGCCTAAACATACTCGAAAACTCACCAAAATTTGCAAACATGTCAGAACCGGTGAAAAATTTCGTATTCTACAAGTTTCGCACATGGGCGTGGCAAAATGACTCGCTAGCGCCACCTAGAAAATTGGAAAAGATTAGCCCCTCGTTCATGTTCAACCTACATGTACGAAATTTTCTGGGGACATGTATCGTATCAAGACGCACAAAAAAGCCTCAAGAACCCATAGCCTAAAGTCAACCGGATGTCGGCCATTTTGAATTTTACGGCCATTTTTGGATGATTTACACACTTCGTACTTTAACGAACTCCTCCTAGGGATTTAGTCGGATCGACGTCAAATTTGTGCTGTGCCTTCTAAAGGCATTGAAGATGAAAAGTTGTGCTATTTGCGAGTTTTCGTCAATGGGTGTGTCCGTGGCGTGGCGTCAAAGATCAAGTCTTCGCCATGACACAGGAAGTTGTTGTAACTTCAGTGTATATGCTCACATCTGGACCAAACTGTACATGTAGGATGAGAGTCCCGCCCTGAACACATGTACATGCCGACATTCACCCACAGTCAGCGCCACCTGCTGGCAACAGGAAGTGACTTTTAACGAAGCAGCCCCCGCCGCACGTTTCACCTACGTGCACGAATTTTCTGTGGTACGTGTATCTTGTCCAGACGCACAAAAAAGCCTCTTGGAGCGATGCCCTAAAATCAACAGGAAGTCGGCCATTTTGAAGTTTACGTCAAATTTTGGATGATTTACACACTTCGTACTTTAACGATCTCCTCCTAGGGATTTAGTCCGACCGACCTCAAATTTCTGCTGTGCCTTCTAAAGGCATTGAAGATGAAAAGTTGTGCTATTTGCGAGTTTTCGTCAATGGGTGTGTCCGTGGCGTGGCGTCAAAGATCAAGTCTTCGCCATGACACGGAAGTTGTTGTAACTTCAGTGTATATGCTCACATCTGGACCAAACTGTACATGTAGGATGAGAGTCCCGCCCTGAACACATGTACATGCCGACATTCACCCACAGTCATAGCGCCACCTGCTGGCAACAGGAAGTGACTTTTAACGAAGCAGCCCCCGCCGCACGTTTCGCCTATGTGCACGAATTTTCTGTGGTACATGTATCTTGTCCAGACGCACAAAAAAGCCTCTTGGAGCGATGCCCTAAACCCAACAGGAAGTCGGCCATTTTGAATTTTACATCAAATTTTGGATGATTTACACACTTCGTACTTTAACGAACTCCTCCTAGGGATTTAGTCCGACCGACCTCAAATTTCTGCTGTGCCTTCTAAAGGCATTGAAGATGAAAAGTTGTGCTATTTGCAAGTTTTCGTCAATGGGTGTGTCCGTGGCGTGGCGTCAAAGATCAAGTCTTCGCCATGACACAGGAAGTTGTTGTAACTTACGTGTACATGCTCACATCTGAACCAAACTTTACGTGCTTGATAACTCAAGGGGTCATCTTCTCTGCTATTGGTGGACCAGTCAGACAAGAGAGCTCCTACTCTGCCTGCAGACATCAACGATCTTGCCCCTCACACAGTCAGATGGCTTCCTTCAGTGCACTGAGGTGTTTAACAACTCTGAAGACAATACTACCAGCAATGTATTCCTTCTCTTTTCATGTAGACGCTCCGACAGACAGTGCTTTCAGTTTGCTGCATGCATGGACACAGAACTGCGGTATAGGGAGAAGCACACGGTCAGCTGGCTGCAGCTAAATCTGGAGTGCACTCGTATTCAATTCTGTATGGTAAATTCAGTTTTAACGGAGCAGAGCGAGCTGACAGGCAGAGTTAGAGACTTTTTCTGTCCGTTTCTCTCTTTACAAAGACGCATGTTGCAGTCAGAGTCTTCTCTGAGATGCGATGCGAGCACGACATACAACACAATTTATCAAATTACACAACGGATATACAGTATGAAAATAAGATTGATTGGATTATACTCACAGGAAGTATAAAACCTGTTACATGCGTCTATTAAAAGTAAAGTAACACAAAAATGTCAGGGAAATTACTTTACTTAGATTTAAGTACTGCAGTTGTACATTTGAAATACCTTCCTACCTTTCTGATAGGAAGCCTTCTTGAGGTGGTATAAAACATTTCTTGTTATATTCTGATTTAAGTTGTGGACAACTATGACCACATGAATTAAAAAAAACATTTCACTGCCCAAGTCAGCTATAACACAAGTCTTGTTCATTAGACTACATGCTGTACAGTATTTGTGGACAGATTTTGTCCCAGGATTTATTATGCATTTCTTCTTCTTTGTTGCATGATTTAGAATAATAAGGTGAGAAATGGGTCTATTCTGAGTTCATCCTGCACTGCAGCAGCTAATAAAGTCCATTTAATCCCAAAAATGCTTTTCTTTTAGGCAGGCTGGAGCAGAAAACAACTAACCTTTCTCAAGTTGTACAGTAATGTCACATGTGTATGAAGGTGGATCAAACAAGCTAATCTTAAATGTCAAAGTAGAGAGGATCCTAGTAGGCCTATTTATTTTCATTCATTACACAATATGAATAAGCTATGCAGACAGTTGTAAAGAAAGAACATCTTTTTCTTCTGTTCTCTACTTGTTATAGTTACACAGTATTAGGGGTGTGGGCTGTATTAAAAGTATCCACTGTTCTCCCATGCTCTAACACACAGTAACGATGAAATGTGTGCTGTTCTCACATTCTTCCTCTGTATGTACACATAAACAACAAGGCAGGGAAATATAAAAGGAATTTATTTTATTGTTTGGGTACATTATTGTTCAGTGTACATGCTCACATCTGAAACAAACTTTACGTGCTTGATAACTCTCCCACCCCGCAGACATCTACACACCAATACCGATTTATATTCATAGCGGCAAGTGATATGTAGCTCCACGTAGGGGACACAGGAAGTGACATATAGCACCTTCATGCGGCGTCGGAACCGCGTAGCAAATTCACAGCCGCACCGGCAGAGCTCCAGAATGTGCAACTCGGCCGGCTCACACCCGGACGCGCCTACAAGTGCGAGGGCCCGCCCAACGCTGCTTGCAGCTTTAATTTGTGCTAAATTGGCTAACAAAATCCTGACTTCAGCTCTGTCCTAATCACACAGATATGAGAATACAATACAAAATGTATTCATTTGAGGATTTTCCTCCTCTGCTGTGATGTGTATTGTGTTCCTCTTCAACTGCTTACTGTTGTTTCTATCCTCTCTTCCTTTTTATTGATTGATATAATGTATCTGAGTGATGCCAGATCTGATCACAGAATCTTGCATCACATGCACTCAGTATGTAGGCTTACTACAGCCTATTATGTAACATAGTGTCCAAACACGTGTGGGATTGTATCTACACCTCTCAGCACTCTGCACCAGCTGTCATAAAATAGAATGTTGCCTGAATTCACGTCTTTATAAATGAATTCAAATAACTTCAGCCTACACGCTCTCCTCTTTCACTGATACACTGTTTACAATCACTGAGTGAAAATGGATCCGTTTATTTATTTTTTATGGCACAGGGATCCCTGGTTACTGATGGTGGATCTCTGCCTAGAACAGCAGCTCTGAGAGCAGTGATTGGAGCAGGCTGCTCACTGCTCTGCTCCCATTAGCTGCTTTCACAAAAACACTTGCCTCATTACATGCAAAGCTCCACCCTCCTGTAAAGGAAGGGGAGGGGGGCCTAAAGCGTGTGGATTTGTTTGATTTGCCCTATGTACTGTCTTGCAGGCTGGATTTTTCAGCATATATATATATATTAACCAGTAAGAAATAATTTGAAGGGTGGTCAGTACAAAGAATTTGGGTGTACTATCTTTTCACTATTTTCTTTGTCTGATTGTTTCTCGTATAGATGTGTATACTATATATGTAATAATAAGGAAGTCTCTCTCCCTCTCTCTCTCCCTCCCTCTCTCTCTCTCTCTCCTTCACCCCCAACCGGTCGAGGCAGATGGCCGCCCACCCTGAGCCATGGTTCTGCTCGAGGTTTCTGCCTCTTAAAAGGAAGTTTTTCCTTGCCTCTGTCGCCTAGTGCTGCTCTTGGTGGGAACTGTTGGGCTTCTGTAAATAACATCACAGAGTATGGTCTAGACCTGCTCTTTTATGAAAAGCGCTGTGAGATAACTGTTGTTGTGATTTGGCGCTATATAAATAAAATTGAATTGAATTGAACTATATACATGCATGTATACCAGAGGCACAGCAAAAGCAAATGTTACCAAACCTAATGCTTTGTCTTCTGGACTCACCAGAATGATTATAGATATTTACAAGGTTTAGTGTTTAAGTCTAATCAGTTAAGAATTCAGTGGCTGTGGCTCCGGAGACAGAGTGGTCGTTCTAATCATAAGGTCTGTGGCTCAATACCCGTTATACCATTATCACTATTATTTTTTTATTGCATTGTGCTACTGTGTGTCCCCCTCAACCCAGCTCTTTGAGGCAAATGGCAGATTCACAGTTCTGCTTGAGGTCTACCTCCTTTCCTAGTTTTTCCTTGTCACTGTGGCCAAGTGCTTACTCATGGTGGGAATTGTTGGGTCTTTGTTAGTAATATCACAAAAACTACTGTCTATTGGTGTTATATGAATAAAATTTAATTTAAAGTAGTTCGACAAAAATAAACAGGCTAATAATAAAAAATATCTGACCTTAAGGTTCACTTACTAGCTTATTCTGGTGCTTTCACCCGCACATTGTCTTCCTCCATCTGCTAAGGAAAACCGTGTACAAACACTGTGTAGCTTCAGCAGCTGAGTAGCCTACAGCTGAGGAGGGATCATACATATTGCTCATCTTCTAGCTGTCTGTCAGACAGCACTGAGGGCACAGACGCCCACGGAACCTCTGCTCCTGGTATCTAAACACATTGTTAAAGCCGCCTGATAATGCCATTCATTAGCACTTTGTTGATGTGATGCTGTAAGGAATAGTGAGCGGTCATTTCTTCAACTTGGTGTCTGAACAGAGCGGGTGAGTGATGCTGGACACACTGTGAGCTGCTAAAAGACAATTTGTTGACATGTTTTCACATTCAGCGCCATTTGCAGACAGGTAAACCTGCCGCCCCTTTTATTGTCCACACTGTCAAACGCTCTGGTTTTATCCCGAAACAAACACCGCGGGAAAAGCAGGAATTGATGGATTAATGGGTTTAATTGAACATTATATTTTAGAACAGAATGCCAGATAATAAAGCGATGCTGTAATGATATGTAAGGGAGCAGAGGTGATGCTCGGTTCTTTGTAAACAGCTATAGCCTACTTTTAATATTTCGGTACAGAAAAAACAGATTGAAACGATAATTTGTAGCTGTTTTTGCAAATGATTTGGTGTAATTATCATAATCACCATGGTGCTGTCATAATGTTTCTAGCAGCTGGAATCAATCTTAACACTGATACAATGGGATCAGTCGTTAGTCGTGTCATTATCATGGAGACTGTTGATTGTGTATAAGTAGCAGGGGCGCTTACAGCTCAGTGGAGATCCGGGCCTAGCCCTGAAATGTATTGCCACAGGCTACACTATAGAGCGCGCGCACACACATACACACATATGTGTGTGTGTGTGTGTGTGTGTGTGTATGTATGTGACAGATTTAGACGATGGTGCAATGAGCTGAGTGCAAAGGATGCAGGAGTAAACTATTATTACCATTATGTACGTGTGGGAGGTGGATGTCATATACAGGTACACACACATTTTTAATAAGTAGTTAGTGAAGTACTTCTAGCAGTCAGTTCTCTAGTAAATAATGATTATTTACTAGAGAACTGACTGGGAGATACTATATTAATGAATGATTGGGTAAGGATTGGGCTACTTTATAAATATCTGTGCATCAACATACTGATGACTTTCTTCATGAGTTGCTCCTGATTAACTCTGAACCAGCAACTTTGGCTCTGAAATGTAGATATCATCTCTCTAATAAAGGCAGGAGTGTGTGTGTGTGTGTGTTTGTATTTCAATTATGTCGATCATCCAACTGACCTCACATTTGGTGTGTTGCTGTGGACCCAAGGGAGCGCAGTGTCGCGTTTGGTGCAATTTGGACATGCAACACATTTAGAATGAATAAACTTTCAATAAAAGTACAGTACAGTGCAAGCTGCTCCGCTCTGCAACAGCGAGGGTGGGGTAAGCTCACGGGGGCAGGGCTTATATGCTCCGATGTGGTAGTGAACTGTTGCAGTTTATCGACATCCGCAGGTTTATTAATATGTTACAAACGAATGTGTTGAAACGGAGTTGTAAGAGTGATATGAAGTTCTAAGGAAGTATCTCCGCCATTGTCGTGTTGTTCAAGTGTTATTAATGCTGTTGGTGAAACCAATGGGAAACGCACATTTTGAACAAGTACTGCACTAGTGTAGAATAATGATGATAATAATAATAATAATAATAAATGAAAATAATTGAACAAACAAACCCCCATCTCCCCAATTCTTCTCCATTTGTCCCAGAAAATGTGGGTCATGTGTAGTAGTTGCATAAACATAAGCCAAAACCAATGTGACCACTCTATTTCCAAGACTGTCCTCACCAGAAAAACGCTAATAAATGTTGTTTGCGCAGCATGTTATTACGACCCATATTTATTTATGTTGTGGCAGCAACGTGGCCGTACAATGGTAGCAAAGGAGGAGGTGGTTATGTATTTGAAAGTCCATGTGGAAGGGGTGATCGGATGGGTCAGACCCCAGACTTTCACTCGGCACAGCATTTGAGTCCCATGTGAAACCCAGTAAAGGTTGAGTTTTAAGTTAACTAGTGTTACTGACTACCATCACGTGACTTACGTAATATACATACTTGAACCCAAACCACGATGTTTTCCTAAACCTAACCGAATAGTTTGTTTCCTAAACCTAACAAAACTGTGACAGTTTCACAACATTAACCACATGTTTAATGTGATGTAGGTCACATGACTTGCGAAAGGGAGCTAACGCTCATACTGTATGTGTTGTTGTCATATGTGTTGTTTTGGGAAGCATGGATAAACAACCTATGGTGGTGTTTAGGTTGGAGAACTTGTTGTATTTCCACTAAAATCAATAGAAGTCTACCTGAATCATCTCTCTACTACTCCCTTCTCAAGAATAGCTACTCCTCTGCTTCTCTTTGTGCCATTTGACACAAAAACCAACCAAGAGGTGGTAGGTGTGTTTCTTGCAGAAATGCCCTGTTTAGATTTAAGGAAAGACAAACATCTTTTGACGTGGATTACCTAATCCCTTTATGTTCCACAAAATTAGGGAAAGCCCCTTATTACTGTCAGCACATATAATTAAAATTCATTCAAAATTCAGCATCCTCTTGCTAAGTAATATAGTCACACAGCAGCAGTTCAAAATAATAGATTAAGAACACAAACAATACAACAATTAAAGCTGCAAGCAGCGATGAGCAGGCCTGAACACCTCCCGTACGTTGGGGTGTGCCGCACCCATGTAGCAGTTGCATGGTATGACCTCGTGTATCCATTGTGCGTTCTGTCATTTTGAAGGGAGTTAAGCACAACCGTTGAATAGTAGGTGGCACTATCATTGTAATGGAACATTGGCATGTAGATGTCTACAGGGCGGGACGGGAAGTTAATACTGCAAATATCAAAAAGGTGATGTGTGGAAAATATCTGACAATGTGTGGCTGATCTGTCAGTTACTACTTTAATTCAAAGTGGCTGACTATTAGTGGGTTTAAAGGTACAGCTCTCTTCATGGCGAGTAATTACTCACCAGGGCAACGGCATTTGACAAGAACTCAGAAGTTTCGCAATATAAAGCATTATGGCTTTCCTGCAGAACTTTGAGATGGATGTGGTCAACCTGCTATGCTATGGACATTTTCGTCCCTAAGGTGCTATGTGGGGTACAAACATGAATGAGGCAAAACAGAAAGTTTGAAACATGTTCTTTCCTGAGACCAGTAGTTGGCGCTGTCACTATGACTGGATATTGACATGTAAGTCAGTTAGGGGTTGACATGTGATTTTGGGACAGATCTGATCATGTCTAGTCCATTTACATGCTACTTCCCTTTCATGGCGAATCATCAACATTGAACGCCACGACATGGACACACTGTTTGGTCGATTTAAAAAATAAAAAAGTTTCGCAATTTAACATCGCAAGGCCGTTAAGGTCACGCTGCCCACATTTGAAGTCGATCGGGTTAAAGCTCTAGGAGGAGTTCGTTAAAGTATGTTCGACTAAAGTTGTAATCCGGAGGGACAGTTGAGACAAACTGAACGGTAAGCCTCATTTGAAGCTCACTAACTAACGAGCGCAGTGTGTCGGATGCCTGCAGCTGTTTTTCATGTTGCTTTCTGTTGAAATTTAGTTCTAATGTTACCACAGCGCAGGGGTTAGTTGCGGTCAGCTATTCGGCTCCGCACCGTGGCGTGCGTGTGTGTTGCTGCGTATGGAAATGGGCTTGTGCCCTGAAGGTAATGATATAGCTACGTGTGAAAAAGACACGGTCAAACTACAAAAAGGAGTTTGCTTGGCAATGTTGTTGACTAGTACCCAGCAGCTAGCTTGCTCCAACCATAAAGCTGCTGTTAGCGGCTTGCTGTGCAGTGAGGTGACAGAGACTCTTTACTATGATATATGGCACCAAATTACTTCATTGATGAAAGATGCGATAATACTGCATACCACGCTGTTGAGTCCTAACATATTGCCGCGGTGGAAATTACTTCATCGCGACAGCCCTATATGGCTCCAAGAGACTTTTCTTTAAGTCCGGGTATTATACACATGCCTACAAAATTTGGAAGGGTGTAAAAGACAGCTGGGGCTGCTCCTTTGAAATCCTGTAGGTGGCGCTATAGAGCCGTTTTATCATTCACATGCCCTTGAACAGTATTAGACAACACAACACACCCATTCTGGTGTGTGTGTGTGTGTGTGTGTGTGTGTGTGTAAAGTTTTGATATTTCAAGCATCATAAGCCTCTCAAAATTCAGCTTAATATTTCATGGCGAATAATGCATTTCCATGGCAACACCGTTTGACGACAGCTCACAAGCTTTACAACCTTACATCAACTAGGTCTTTTTTGAGACAGTTTTGAACCAAATTGGATTATCCTGTTAGGAGGAGTATCGCAACAAATAAAACATGTCACTTCCTGTTGCCAGTAGGTGGCGCTATTGCCACGACTGGATATTGGCATGTAGATGTCTTCAGGGCAGGACTCTTAACAAACGTGAAGTTTGGGGCAGATATGACCATGTCCAGCCCATATACACAGTACTTTCTATTTCATGGCGAATCATCAAAATTGAACGCCATGTCATTGACACACCACTTGATCAATCAAAAAAAGCTTTCCAATTTAACATCGCAAGGGTGTTAGGATGGCACAGCCCACATTTGAAGTCGATCTGATCATATCCCTAGGAGAAGTTTGTTAAGATACGGAGGGTGTAAATGGAAAACCGTTGCACATTCAGTCAAATATGGCTGACTTCCTGTTGGGTTTAGGTTATTGGTCCAAGATTTTTAAGTCTGGACACGATACATATACCTGCAAAATTTGGTGAATGTAGGCTGAAGAGAAAGGAGGGGGCTTTGGTTTTAAAAATTGTTAGGGGGCGCCATCCAATGGGAAAGAATAGAAATAATAATAATTCCAACAAACACAATAGGGACCTCACAGCAGTCACTGTTTGGGCCTAATAAAACCTCCAAGAAAATAGAGGATGAAAATTACCTACACATCAAAAATATATTGATATACTTCCTTATTAATTACTTATTAAATACAGGTGTATTCTCTTCTTCACTTAGAAAGACTTCTTTTTTCATGTGGATCATTTGGTCTTTGCTTTTCTTTATTTCTTTTCTTCATCAGGCTAAATCAATACTACTTTAATGCACACTGCTTGCACACAATTAGCTTGACTATTTACATTACGGCAAGGGGTTGCTTGGCATGAGCAGCGGACAGGTGGAAG